ACGAAATCCTACTGCGAATATGGGCATCTGAAATCCCAAATTTGGAATTTGTTTTATTATAGATTTTATATTTTGTAAAACTTTAACGAATTTTTGATTTACAAACTCAATGCTTTAAAAGCGAGAAATGGCAACGTTATATAGAAAAAAAAAAAATACTTTTATCTCCAGCTCGCGAGACTGTGTATATCGGAAATTCTAAAGATATGCTTAATTTAACATTATTTTGCGATATTGCTCTTGAACTGAATTTTATGGTTTAAGTGCAAAGAACATGATATTTAATAAATAAAGGTAACACTCAAAACGTTAAAAAAACGCCCCTTTGGACGTAATTTAAAATCTGAAACATTTCAGATTTTTTTTTTTTTTTTTTTTAGTCCAAAGGGATTTGAATCCCGAAGGACTATTAGTTTCGTTTTGGCATTTTGCGTCGGACTCATAAATGTCGGTTCACTTTTCAAACTGTTGCCACAAAATGTTAGAGTCCTGCATTATATTTGAAGAAATTAAATAATGAAAAATCTGCATAAATGTATGTATATTTCTCGTATTGTGATAAAACAACGGTACATAGAGTCATCGAATTTTGAATAACGTAATCCTCCAACGAATATGAGCATGTGGAAGACCAAATTTGAAATTTGAAATTTGTTTTATGATCGATTTCCTATTTTTTAAAACTTTGACGAATTTTTGATTAACAAACTCAAGGATTTCAAAGCGAGAGCAATGGCAACGTTGTGCAGAAAAAACATTTTTATCTCCAGCGCGTGAGTCTCTGTATCGGAAATTCTAAAGATATGCTCGTTTTAAAACTATTTTGCGATATTGCTGTTGCACTGGATCTTATGGTTTAAGTGCGAGGAACATGATATTTAATAAAGAAAGGTAACACACAAAATGTTAAAAAACGCCCCTTTGGACGTAATTTAAAATCTGAAACATTTCAGATTTTTTTTTTTTTTTTTTTAGTCCAAAGGGGCTTTGTCCCTGAAGGACTATTGTTTTCGTTTTGCGATTTTGCGTCGGACTCATAAACGTCGGTTCACTTTTCAAACTTTTGCCACAAAATGTTAGAGTCCTGCATTATATTTGAAGAAATTAAATAATGAAAAATCTGCATAAATGATTGTCTATTTCTCGCATTGTGATAAAACAATGGTACATAGAGCCATCGAATTTTGAATGACGAAATCCTACTGCGAATATGGGCATCTGAAATCCCAAATTTGGAATTTGTTTTATTATAGATTTTATATTTTGTAAAACTTTAACGAATTTTTGATTTACAAACTCAATGCTTTAAAAGCGAGAAATGGCAACGTTATATAGAAAAAAAAAAATACTTTTATCTCCAGCTCGCGAGACTGTGTATATCGGAAATTCTAAAGATATGCTTAATTTAACATTATTTTGCGATATTGCTCTTGAACTGAATTTTATGGTTTAAGTGCAAAGAACATGATATTTAATAAATAAAGGTAACACTCAAAACGTTAAAAAAACGCCCCTTTGGACGTAATTTAAAATCTGAAACATTTCAGATTTTTTTTTTTTTTTTTTTTTTCCAAAGGGGCTTTGTCCCTGACTATTGTTTTCGTTTTGCGATTTTGCGTCGGACTCATAAACGTCGGTTCACTTTTCAAACTTGCCAAAATGTTAGAGTCCTGCATTATATTTGAAGAAATTAAATAATGAAAAATCTGCATAAATGATTGTCTATTTCTCGCATTGTGATAAAACAATGGTACATAGAGCCATCGAATTTTGAATGACGAAATCCTACTGCGAATATGGGCATCTGGAAATCCCAAATTTGAATTTGGAATTTGAATTTGTTTTATAGATCGATTTATATTTTGTAAAACTTTAACGAATTTTTGATTTAACAAACTCAAACGCTTTAAAAGCGAGAAATGGCAACACTATAGAAAAAAAAAACCTTTTATCTCCAGCTGGACGCGGAACTGTGTATCGGAAATTCTAACCATATGCTCATTTTAAAATTATTTTGCGACATTGCTACTGAACTGAATTTTATGGTTTAAGTGCAAAGAACATGATATTTAATAAATAAAGGTAACACACAAAACGTTAAAAAACGCTCCTTTTGGATGTAATTTAAAATCTGAAACCTTTCAGATTTTTTCATTTTTTTTAAATTTTTAATTGGCTTCTTCTCTTTCATTGAGAATTAATTTTGTTCGTTGTTAATCGATGAAAATATTCATCATAATGAAGTAATCTTTCTACGGGAAATGAAAAATGAAAAGGTCTGAAGCGGAGGATTGATTGCAGCTATACGTCTTCCTAAAGCATCCCAAACATGCTCGATAGGATTCAGGTCCCGTGTTCAAGCTAGCCACTTCATGCACTGAAATTGTTTGCTTCTGAAGATAATCACCCACAATGCGAGCCCACTGCGGTATAGTGTTGTCGACCTGTAGCAGTAAATAATCACCTATTCCCAATTACGCACATAACCATCAAGGATTTCATCTCTATAGGCCTAAGAATTCATCGCCACGTGGAAAGATATGGAGTTCTGTGCGTCCACCCAAAGAGATACCACGTCTAACACCAGAGTCGTAGCTAGGGTTTTCAGCGCCCAGGGACAACTGAAGATTTCGCGCCCTCTACTGCTTGCCAAGGATGGAAAACATTTAATTCTAAAACGTCGTAACATAAGTTTGGCGCCCCTTGGATTCTGCGCCCGGGGACAGATGCCCCCTCTTGCCCCCCTCTAGCTACGCCCCTGTGAAACACAGACACTGACTCCTCCGTATGCATCTCGCTCATGGATGTTTTATAGATGATTATCGTTCTGGAGGCTAAACCTAGACTCATCCGTAAAGAGAATAGCCCTCTATTAATCAGCTATCCAATGGACATGTTTACATGCCCACCTCAAACTTTCTCTTCTCCGGGGAGACGTGAGCGGCACGTTAATGGTTGATCGCCTCGCACACAGACTTCATTCGTGAAGCATTCTACGCACGGTTGACATTGACGCCAACGTTTCAGTGGCTGCAGTAAGGGAGGAGTTGAGGTTCTATCCCTTCCTGAGCATAGGAGCAATATCTGCTGTCAGCTCTCGTCGTAGAGTTTTGCCATCCTTGGCTGAATCTCCAGGATGCCGAATCTGTGGTTAGAAATTGCTGCCAAAGTGATGAACCACAGAAGACTCACATTTAGCCATCTAGCCACTTTTCTCTGATTTTGTGCTTCCTCTAGTCTCCCAATAGTTCTTCATCGCATTTCTTTGTGCAAATATTCCCGGACGTCATTCTTACAAATTGGCTATCACAGATTTCTTATCTCAATATCTCAGCAAAATTTACAAGCTTGCTCTGAATCATGCAATTTTATGCTCTTCGCAGATGACGTATTTCGATTGCAGCGCCACTAATTTGCACACTGCAGTATTACTCAGCAATTCTTATTTGACCAACATATTCAATTTCTATACCGATTGGCTTATTTTTGAACGAGTTATCGTTATTTTAGTGATTTTTTTCACCAGTGTAAATATAAAATTGGTATATTTCATTTTAAAATCCTTGGCGTCTTCTGATGTAAGCCTCTTTTCAAATATCCCATATCAAAATAATCACCCGAACTGACTCCTGCTGAATAAAACTATGCAACTTTGTATTGGATTATGACGTGTATTCTTGAACGCTCCAAGTTTATTTTCGTAGTTAATTTGTGCCATCGTTGATTAAGTTTCCGCCAATTTTTCTTCTACCTTCTTTAAAAATGTAGCCGTGTGCACGTGATAGTGTCATTTTACATAGAAAGTCTGTTGTTTGCGTCATTTCTGTAATCTTATTACGTCTCAAAATCTCAGAAAATTAAGCAACACAAAATAATCAACAATCTTAATAGCAAACTCATAACATCCTGACAAAAGGCTTTTTTTTTTTTTTTTTTTTTTTTTTTAATTCAATGCGTGAAATTATATCCTATCGTAACTTGATTGCTTCATTTTAAAAACAAGACGATACACTTTTGGCTTTTTAAACGCTTGTCGGATATACTGAAATGAAGTATACTTTTCACACTTACGTAAGTAAGTTTTGCTTCTTTTTTCTGGTTATTTGGCTTTAAGGTACGAGGCAAAAAAAACTCAACACTAAAAAAAAAAAAAAAAAAAAAAAAAAAAAAAAAAAAAAAAAAGACCAGAGTAAAAGTAAAAGTTCAATAAAAGAGCCTGAGTGTAGCTATTATATTGAAAATAAACACGAAATATGAAAGTGAAAAGTGATTACACTTATTCTATAATATATTTATTTGTATATATATATGCATGGAGTTGATTCAATTCAAACGCAATTAAAAGTTGAAATTATGTAAGTTTTACAAGTTATCTCTCATTGAAAACTTGGTCATAAAAGATATAACTCAAGATTTAATCTATGAAAAGAAATTTCTTCAATGTAGAAAGTCATGGAACTCTTGCTGAGAGACAGCAAACATGATAAACCTGTTTCTAAGAGCTTGAGGTGAATTTAAATCCTACGATGCTGAAAATTTGCGAAATTATGATAGCGTGTGTTACAGCGATTACAGGTAAAGAAATCGGATTTACAGATCTGACGTTGTGTATAACGGTTCTGTCATATACCATTGCATCATTCACCAAAAATAATTGACGATAGGCTATATATAAAGGAAAAGGCTTTTTTCTAACGTAGGCTGAGCTCAACAAGAAATTAAAAGTACCTCAATCATATTCTGTAAATTAATAAGCTGATGTTGTTGACCATCCCCTTAACAATGCTTGAATAAATGGTGATATTAATTGGAGAAAAAGGAAAATACAATAACATTAAATATAAGCTTTTCTAAAGCTTATGGAGACCTTTAGCTTACAAGATGCTTACAAAATATTTAAACTCCTCCCCCCCTGAAAATGTACAATGATCTTATTCTGCATCGCTGGAAATTTCCAAGGTAGGTAACAAAAACATAAGAAAGAACTGTAAACCTCCATGAAAGAAATTTTATTTTTTCGAAATAAGAATGAACAGTGTTAAATATTAAATGAAAAAAATATGTGATGCATTAAAATTGCTAAAATTATTTCTTATTTCGCGGCTATAGGCTTGGTAACAAAACAATATTACTATGTTTTTTTTTTACAATAACAAATATTTCTTTGATGTTAACTTTATGTACTATGAAAGAGATTCATTATTCGGGCTGTTTTGAAACACAGGTCGTCACACGCCAGCAGGTAAATCATCTTTGACTTCAACCATTACGCAAGTGAAGATCACTCTAGTGGTGACAGCTTGGCCTGTGTCTTCAAAAAACATTTTTTGAATCGCACCGTTTTTCCCGCAGTCCACCAGTGTGTGCTTCATTTCATCACTAGTCACATTATAAACGTCCTTCATCCTGCCCTTATCCTTCATGGGGTGGCAGTGGAGAGTGATAACTGGTATGCGATAATCCTTAACGCAAAGTTTAAATTCTGCAAAACAAAAAAGATATGCATAATGACCGAAAATTTGGCAAAAGGTCTTAATTAGTATTTATAAATCATTAAACAACTGACTTCGTCTAATTTATACTTTTCTATGGGAGCATTTTGCAGTATGAAACTTCGAGTAGATTAAGCAGAAAAAAGGGGAAGCTGAGGGTTTTACATCTCACATTTTGAATGGCTGATCGTTATAATTCAACTTATATTTCCCCTCATTTTTGAAAAGCGTAATTTATAAGACAGAGTGTAAGAGAAGTGATTGTCATAATCTTAAGGCACACTAAAACAAAAAGGTTATTTATTATTAAAATAAATAAAGGTTATTATTTATTGAACGATGTTGGAATGTTACTATTGGTAGACACAGTTTTGAACAACTTAAAATAGAAAGATTAGGTATTTTTGGAAGTAGGCAAGAGGAAAAATGAGCAACACCTTGGCCTGGAATCGAACCACGAACCTCTGGAATACGCGCCCAGCGTGCAGACCACTACACCACGAAGGCACGCTAAGATGGCGGGAGAAATACCTTATAAGCTATTAATTAAACTATGTTGGCAGACACAATTTTGAACAATTATTTATTGAACGATGTTGGAATGTTACTATTGGTAGACACAATTTTGAACAACTATTTAATTGATCCATGTTGGCGTGTTACTGCTGGTAGACATAATTTTGGACAATTATTTTTACTGAAACATTGCTGTAAGGTAACACTTGTCAACGATGCCGAAAGTAAGTAATTTACGTTTTTTTTTTTTTTTTTTCCTTTTATTTGTTATGTTTGTGCCTCAACACATCGCTTGTGCCCATTTATTTCTACAAAATATGCTTGCTGTTGTGTGATCTACCACTTATTGAAGTTCTGTATTCTACTTTATTGTATCCTGTAAACAACAAGTTTCCATAGATACTTGTGCTAACATTCGTATTTTGACAGGGAAGTGGGCTTTTTAAGAAAATACATAGCAATATTCTTCGATATTTAGATTCTAAATCTAAAGATACACAAAAGAACTCAGTTTTGTTAAATTCTAAAAACGCAGATTTTAAAAATAGAACCTTCATTGAATTTGATAATATTGGAATTAAATTTTATGATGCTTATTTCTAAAAATTTAGATTATTTTTATTAAAGAATTTCGTAATGCTTTTTATAACACCAACGTAGCTGGAGCGGTAGATTTACTCCTACTTTCTGTGTACGTTTTCACATTGAGAATCGTTTAAACGAATTGTCGTACTTTTTATTAAATTACAATACTTACATATTGATTACTTTTTTATCAATTTTTATGTGTTAGCAACAGTTCGCGTTCAGCTTAACAGTTTTAGGGTCGGAGAATATTGCATCCGGAAAATGAAATGTTTTATTCATTTCAGCGACTTAAGCGATGGTAAAAAAAAAAAAAAAAAAAAAAAAAAAAGCAGTATTAAATGATTATACTCAATAAAAAATTTTAATCTTCATTACCGTTAATAAAATAATATTGCTTTGTGAGTCACTACGCATTAGAGAGCACTATGCATTAATTTATAAGTTACCTATATTATAAGGTTACATATATGAAAATGCGTTTCCTGAGCACGAAAAACGATTTCCTATAGAAGACGGACGGGTTCTGCATGGAAGAAGTTCTACCTCAACTCAGACTTCCTAGTTCTGATTGCCTTTAAACCTTTCCATTTCCTTTGAGTGATTAAACAATACGGTTTCAACACAAGTGCCCATTTCAGTCTTTCCATTCAGAGTGTAAACTTCAAAACTGCATTTCACACCTTGCAATTCTAATGCAATTATATAATTTCGCTATTTAATGTAGGCATGTTCTAGAAATTATATTTTAAAATCAGAAGTTACGATAAAGAAAATATATTTTAGTTTTACTGGGCAGAATCTTTAACACAATGTTTGAAAGCAAACTTTATTTGCCGTCTTTAAAGTCTGTAGCAATCTCTTCAACAAACAACTACAGTGAGGCAAGAGGAAGTCTGAAACGAAACACTCACATCCCAAAAACCAGTATTAGGAGATAAAAAGACTATAGAACTCAAATATGAAAAATTAATTTCGAATGCAGATAAAATAATTTAAATATTAAACTTAATGTAGTAACATCTTCATATTTGCTATTAATTTTTTCACTTTATACCGCAGTTATGGGATTTGAAAAATATGTATAATGCGATATTTATATAGAATTCATAATTTCCATAAAATTTGGTTATTAAATTAACTCTCTACAATACACTACTAGCATTAAAACAATGTACTACACGCTGCATGCTACATTTCTGAGTACCAACATTTTGTACCTTAGTTTACTATGCTACTAATATGTACGAAAGAAAAGAACTCTTCATTTTTTCTTCCTTATCACCAAAGCATTTTGCAACAGAAATACAAATTTTATCCTGTATAAAAGAATCAAGTACAGCATCAAAAGATGATAAAAAAGAAAATTTATGCCTTCTCATCCAGTCATTCCGTATATAATGAAAACGCGGTCATGACTATCCCTCGTAAACAGTAATCAGCCATAGTTAGGTTATTCAATTACGCCAAAGCCTCGAGGGTTATCTGCCTAAGGGGATGGATGCCTTCGGGAAGGACTTTCTAAGGAAAACTGGCTCGTATACACGTTACACATGGGCAAAAACCACGAAAACACCCATGCAGCCAGCCCGTTCGCGGGATTCGAACCTCGGACCGAACTACCAGTGTTCAGCGACTTTACCGCTCGGCCGCTGGTGCTTATAAGAGATAGACTAACCCAATGGGATGAGCGTGCGTCACCCACATGTCCGCAAGAAGGAGTAGAGACGATCCGCCTTACTTACACGGAAACCTATGGCGTTTGTATCACATAACTGTTTTTAATTATTAAATGTGATACGTTGTATAAGTGATGAGATTATGAAAGTCACAGTTTTTGCAAATAAAATTTAACATATCACATTAAAGCACTTTTTGCTGCATTTTGCGAATTTTTTCAAGCGTAATTCTTGTATAAATTTCTTTACTTCAATAAAACAGTAAAAATTCTAAACGCAAAACTTTAACTTATTTTTGCGTACAAATAAAGTAAAATTAAATAATATTGATAGCACATGATGCTTTGAAACAAATAAGGTAAAACTAAACAAGATCTGATAATTTTCTTTAATTTTATGAGCATTTTCAGGCAGTAGTTTTTTAAATTATTATAACATAACAAGGCCATCATTTATTTGATTATATAATCATTAATTATTAACATTACAAGATGATTATTTATTTTAGTAATTCATAAAATTAGGAGCATATACTTTTCTGAGTGTAATGAGGAAGAAAATGATAAACTCTGGAAGCACTCAGATTTGATTTTATATTACGTCCAAAGGAGCGTTTTTTGTAACGTTTGTGTGTTACTTTTATTTATAAAACACCATGTTCTTCGCAAGTAAACCACATAAAATTCAATTCAAGAGGAATATCACAAAATATTTGAAAAAGGCATAATTTTAGAATTTCCGTGCTGGAGATAAAAATTTTATTTTCTGTACAGGGTTGCCATTGTTTGCTACGTTGAGTTTGTTAATCAAAACTTCGTTAAAGTTACAAAATATGAAATGGATTAAAACAAATTCGAAATTAGGCCGTTCAGGTGGCCATGTTTGGGTGGAGGGTTACATTATTCAAAATTTGATGGCTCTAAATTCCGTCGTTTTTGCACAGTGCGAGAAACATAAATGCATTCATGCAGATTCTGCATTATTTAATTTCATTAAATATAATACAGGGCGATAATATTTGGTGGCAACTGTCTGCAAAGTGAAACGGACATTTATAATGAAACAAAGCAAAATGCCGTTTCGGAACTAATAGCTTTTCTGAGCTGCAGCCCCTTTAGGCTTATAAAATAAATTCACAATAAATTTGAAAACTTGTGCAGAACTAGAAATAAATTTAAAAATAATTACTATAAAATACTAGCATAATTAATTATTACTGTTAAATACAATTTTTAACATTAGAATAAATGCATAAAAGTTATTAATGTGTTAAAAGTTGTTTATCACCATGATGTATTATGAAATATTATTGAAATAAAACTCTTTCGTAGAATATTATGCTATAATATTCACATATAATTTTTAAAAAGCAGTACAATTTAGAAAAACTTTCAAAACTCCATTTTTTGGATTTTAGTATTTTTTACTTATTTACACCAATAAAAAGCATAAAAATTGTAGGAAAAAATTTTTTGTGTGAATTTTTCTATTAGTTCATATTTAAAATATTATTTTTTAAAAGAAGTAGAAAAAAAATTTCCTTACAGCATGGGAAAAGTTAAAAAAATATCCAGACCTGAAAGCTAGCAACAGCTTTTTAATTATTTCGAACATTAATTATGCTTGATAAACATACTAAATTTTTAAAAATCTCAGTTTCAAAAATAAATATATTTAAAAATTCTAATTTGTTAAATAAGACGCTATCACCGGCTTTTCTTGTAAATTATACGCGCTGCAACAGTTGCTACTATTGTTAAATTTTTGCAAGTCGCTCCTACTCCTCCGGATGGGGTCAAGGTGAAAGCCGGGAAACCCCATTTGGCTTGGTCTGTTTCTTATAAGGTCCATGTAATCAGCATGTTTATCATGCTACATTTCGTCAATTTAACGATTCGTTATCTCTTGGTGGGAATTTTCTAATTTAGTGGTGCCATTCAAATTGCACGATCTGTTACTTGACAAACCAGAATTACTTTTTAACATAATGAAGGCATTTATCAACGAAATTAAAAATATTTAAAGAAATTAATTTGGTTTACTAAATATATATTAAAACGTGCATAAACAATAACAATAATGATGCAAAGAAAAAAAATGTATTTATTTTCACTCTGAAATCCAAAGAGAAATCCAATTTTACAACGCAAGACTTTTTGCTCGTTACAGCTTTGTAATTCATACTTATTGATAGCTAAATATTATTATTTCAGACTACTATTTATTTCAAACAATTCTAATATGCTTCATTAATTATTAAATAACTTACTTTAATTTAAACCAAAAATAAATAAATAATAAAAATTTTGTAAATTTCCACATAAAACTTCCCAAGTGGGGCAAAACTTGAGAATAAATAATGCTAACCTAATTTCTTTCTTTAATAAAATTTTCTTCGAAACCTCAATTAAAATCTATATGTTTATATGTAAGTTATTATAAATTTCTTTATTTCTTACTATAAATTGACACCTGATGGCATTTCGACTCTTGTAAACGACTTGGAGAAAAATTACTAGAAATTATCTTCATCACGGGTTGTAGATGTTCATCCGTCCATCGGGTCTGTCAAAAAAAGGCTGTTTGCATGGAAATAGATTTCCAAACAATGGGGTTATTCTGAGACAATGGATTATCAAACTGCCAAAGGGGCTGCCAAATCGAGACCATAGTTCTAATTTATCCATCAATCTGCTGCAGATTCCGAAACAGGGATCATGACTATCTTGTTTGGAATGTAACATACCTGTTACCCAATCCAAAGTCCCAATCACATTATGTTTCGGCTATGCAGGACTTGACATCGAAAGGGACAATTCTCGGAACCCCCACAATTCTAGGAAACTCACGTAGTTAGGTTACCATTTTCAATTACTACAAAGACTTGAACGCCAAACACTAATCGACTATCGCTCAGATTGGGATCACGTGAGGCTTCAGAAGCAGAACTTTCGTCTGATTGGTTGTCTCTACCCGGGACTGAGGTCCAGCCGAGACATTTTCGATGAAGTTTGAAAAATTCCCGCGTAGCCGCAACATTGCTTCCGTAGCTAAGCGGGGTTTCGCTTCAGGAGGGGCTCTTTTTTCTAGGAATCCTCCCATTTAAACCAGTGCTACCAGAATCACGTTTCCCAGAAAAATCCCATCTAGCAGAAACTGTAGCCATGTGTGATAACCTCTTTTAAGTAACAGATGGTGCGGTTTCACAACTACAGTTCCAGGTTCATTGCACAGAAAAAATAAATAGTTAAAAATGATTCTTTCAGAATCTGCACCTGCTATAAAAGTTTGAAAAATAGTTCATCAAATTATGTTTAATTTATGGCAATGATTTATAAAAGTTTGAAAAATAGTTCATCAAATTATGTTTAACTTTATGGCAATGATTTATTTTTTTTAAATGCTATCTTTACTTACCCACTACGACATCGTCATTGTTCGGACACTGAGCCGTTATTGAGAGTCCGCCATTAGGTGAGAAGAATGTTTCTACGACCTCTTCATCTCGGTAAACCTGTTCCTTCATATCTGTACAAGCAGGACTAAGAACATCCTTAAAGAATGGGCTCCTCCTGTAATGTGATTTGGAAAACAATTAATGATACGCACATTCGATAGGCTTATGTAAAATAGATTTCCTCAAATGATACATACTGTTATTCTGAGATTTAATGTAAAGATAAAAATTTTAAAGCCATGATGTAAAGTTAAGAAATCTGTGAGAGAATTTATGAAATTTTACGTAACTGATTTAAAAAAGGTGTGTTTTTACCTGCCAGACATATTCAGAAAATTAAGTGGAGTGTGTTTACTATTTCAAAGCAAAAAGAAGTGCATTAAAACTCCATTTACTTTAAAGATGAATATATTGCAGTTTCGATTCTCCGCAGGAGCTCGGAATAATTTTGAGTATTTTCATTCCTGAATCATTTCTTGAAGTGCCCGAATTTGAAGTAGGAATTCACAGAAACATCGGAAATTGCTTTCGTGGTTTACTGTTGTCTATTCATCAATATTTTCCATCTTTGAATGAAAAGAAGTAATAATTTCAGAAATTCTACCCACAAGATAAACTAGCTATTTTGTTTTATCAAAATATAGTTACAGAAATTATATCAATACAATGTCGGTCAACTAATGGGAATAAAAATCCCAGAAGTTTCTCTCGTTGTTTTTTGAGAGAATTGAGTGAAGAAAAGTCCTGGCAATCAAAGTATTATTGTCATTCGCAAACATACACATTGGCGGAAAAAATAAAGTTAGTGAGTATAATTTGTTTTACACTGAAATTAAATAGCTAAAAATTTCTTGAGATCTTTTTCTAGATAATCTAACATACTTTCATCAGCATTCACTTTTTACCCCCCCCTAAAAGTCTTAACACAAGTGCAAGTGATCGAGGATCATTATCATTGATGTGATGCAGTGCAAACCTCTCAAATTGAATTTTCCTTCATGTAGTTTGACATGAGACATCTCACTGAAGGGTAATATATCACATATATAATTTCGTTACTAAATTATCAGCTCAGAAACTTGAAAGAAGAAACTTAACATAATCTTGATTTTATCGGGTATCATTCAAATGTCTTCTCAATTGACAACATAAGGCTGCTTCCAAAAGAAAAGGATTGTTCTTTACGCCAAAGATATATCTGTTGTCTACCTAAACTTCTTTACAATTCCACTAGAAGAATCTCAAATAATTTCGCTTCTCTGGCCGAATACTCACTTTAAAAAAAAAGCTTTTTCAGTATCTGCAGTAACACCATATTTAAATTCTCTAAATCTGAGAAGGAGGCTTGAAATGAGTTCTAATAAATTGGAACTGCGTTCTAAACATTGGTTAAAGCTGGAGATTCAGTTTGCACGACAGACGCATCGAAAACGTATTTTCCCTTTCATCACTCATTGGTGTTTTTCCAACCAATACCCAGCCAAGGCAAATTTCTTATAGCTACAATAACACTAGATTGTACTCTTTTTCTTCCATTGGAAAGTTAACCAACCACGTCTGCACCAATTAGATCAGTGGGCCCTGATGAATCTTCAGTGTCATAAAATGGTATATATTCATGGACTGGAGCTCTTTAAATCATAGTCCCAAAGGCAGAAGGGGTATACACGACAGACTGTATTTTGCTCATAAATATCACAAATTATCATCTAGACTCATTAGTTTAATTATGTAGACATATTATAGATTTTTCGGTGTTCTTTTCCAACAAAAAGTAGATGACTCAAAATATGTTATCTAGAAGACACGAGGCCTAGAGTAGAAATTAAGTCCTTTCTTTAATACGATTTTTGCGATGGTGTGTCATATAAAGCTCGAACATAAAATGTAAAAATGTTTCCAACTAATTTTTTTTCATGATCTGCAAAAGTATATGTGGTGAGTTTCTAACGCTAACAAGATTCACCGAAGTTTCTTCAATGCTATTTCCTTCTCCGTTGTTGTTTAAAACAGTCTTCTTAACATTTTTGTATTGTTAGGTAGTTTTAATCATATATTACACTATGATTCTTATGGCAAATTGCACTATTAATAGAACTGCTGCATTTATTTTCACAGTGACCAGCCTTTAAATAACTAAAGAAGTAACCCTTACCTTCTAAAGTTTTTGCCCTTCTGAAAATAGCCTTTTTTTTTAGCTTAAAAGAAATTAAAAGAATCCAGTTTTTCACTGCAAAACACGCATTTCTTAGCAGGAGAGGTAGCACTTAGCAAGTTTGCTTGCTTTGAAGGTTCGTTCGTGAACAGTTTTAATGGATTAATTCTATAGGATGTTTCGCTCTGCAAACTTAAACCAATTATAGCTAAATTTATACGTTCTTCGGATGCTATTTCTGATTTCAATAATTTTAGTAAACTGTTCAGCCTACATTTTAGATATGGGCCTTTTAAAAATCTTCTGGTAAGCAAGACTCAGCTATAAAGGTAATGGGGCTGTGTAATAAAACAAAGTTGCTTTCTTGAAATTCTTTTGAAAAAGTTGCTGTTTGTGAAAGAGAAGTAAGGAATCCAGAATGCAATAATATTATACAGATTAAAAATAAATAAATATGAAATACTGTCAACTATAAATTAATCAATCATTCAATTAATTATTGAAATACTGTCAACTATTAATTAATAAATTATAAATTAATTCCTGATTTAAATAAATATTCATAGCTATGAAACAAAACGAAAAACATTCAAATATATTTCCACTTCTCAACAAAATTATTTCATATCGCAACACATGTTTTAGAAACCGTTTCTCTGGTTTAAATCTGCGTTTCCAGAAGCCAATTATATCTATACGCACATTTATGAAAATCGCCAGACTAGTACAAGGTGGCGACGATAAGAATACTGAGCTTCAGTCATGCGCCCTTATGCTGCAACACAGTAACAATAATATCTGTCTTTTTTAATAGCGGCAAACTTACACAAGAATGCGGTATTTCTGTGAAAGGTATCCCTATGGTTAATTTGGCCTACGCTACTTTTAGGAGTAAAACAATCAAAAGTTTTAAATTCTTATTTTTGTTGGGTTAAATATGAAACCGTCAGGTATTTCCTTTCTCCCAATTTCTTCTCTCTTTTTTTTTTATAATTCTGTTAGTCATTCACCATCGCTGCAATATACAATATCTTTTAAATTCATAGTATTCAAAACGCAGCATACTTACGACCCCATGGCTCTTAAAAGGAAAAAACTGCTTCCACAATCAACTTCCGCTTCAGCGGCCTGCGGTGGCTTGCATTCGAAAGGTTCTTCGGCTGCTGTAAAAAAGGTCAATAATTAAAAAAAAAAAAAAAAAAAAAAAAAAAAAAAAAAATCAATTTTTTTAACAACGCGAATATATAAGATGTTTCAGCTTACTGACCAATTTTTAAAATTAGTTATTCATTTGTTGATATTATGGTGTATAAAACAAGAGCTAATTCGAAGAGAGAGAAAAATATAAGAAGTTTACGAAAATTGCTGTGGCCTTTAGTGTATATTCTCGAGTTAACTTGGTAAATTTCTGATACGGAGGAGATGTTATTTGCAGTAAATGGATATATGTAAATAGTCAAATTTTTATTTAGTATTACTGACGCTCAAAGGGAATCCAAAAACCTTGAAGTGCTACATCAGTTTGTTACTGCTAAGTTAATAAATGGAAGGAAATGAGTATTTAAAAATTAGATCATCCACCTGTAAAACATTCTGTACAAAAATAATCTTGTTTGGAGTAAATATTATTGAAAAAAAGTGAAGGCTGAGATTTAATTGTTGTTTTCAAGCAACTGAGTTCATTTACCTTTTTTAAACGGTAAAAGCTGCCATGAATTTTTGTAACTCCGCAAACAGCTTCCGAAGTTAATGAAAAATTAAAATTTTCTTAAAGTCTTATTTTCTTTCTTCATTTTTTAAAGTGTATTTTAAACATATTAAGTATTTCGGATGATAAGGTGATCCCGATATGATGCAATGATAGTATAACGTTATAGAATTGAGGCAGAGTTTAATTAAAAAATGTGTTACCCTACCATATTAGAAATAAAGTAATACAAGTTTAAACATTCGCTTCGCTTCATGGTTCATTTACGATTTACCATCGCCATTGTTTCTTTCCATCGATATGGATAAAAGTTAAATATTCATAGGATCTCGTATACAATTACGTGAGATTACTAAACAAGAAATGCGTCCCAAAGCATTGCATAAGCAGTGAGACATCTGTCCGAACAGTACAAGAAAATTTGTATTAGTACTATTTTCGTGAAACTGCCCTGCCGAGAAGATAATGCTGCCTTGCGTACTGCGTATGATTTTGTTACCATCGTTGTAGATAGCTTTGTGCTTTGTAATTTACAAACCAATACGTTTTGAATATAAAATCCTACTGCTATTAGAAATTCCAGTAAAAGAAACGAAAGTATTATTTTTTCAGCAAAATAGAAATATAAGGTGTTTCAGCTCACTGACAAAATTTTAGATGCAGTTATACATTTCTTGATAATAAGGTTGTAGAGACATTAGGTATTTTTGGAAGCAGACAAGATAAAAAATTAGCAACGCCTTCGCCGGGAATCGATCCACGGACCTCTGGAATACTCGCCCAGCATGCAGACCACCACACCACGAAGCCATGCCAAGAAGGCCGGAGAAATACCTTATAAGGTGTATAAAATCAGAGGTTATTCAAAGGATGAGAGAAATGTAGGATTCTGAAAGAGATAAATGCTCGTAAGTTAATCTAAAATTAATTTTGCCTCGTTTTAAACTTGTAATTATTGGTGCTTTTTATTTTCAAAATATATTTCGAGCCATTGTGAACTGCAGTGGCTACGGATATAGTATTACAGCACTGTACTTATGTACAGAAAGTTATGACGCAGTCTGACTTTTAAATATTAAGTGCTAGAAATGATACTGATAACACATCTAGAGGAACCAATAATTACCTCTGCGAATTCGTGCGCATATACTGTCCAATAAATGAAATAATTGGACTTAATTGTAATTAGAAATAAATATGTTAATATGCTGAAATTGTGCATTTTGCCCTGAAAAATCAACTGTGTCGTCGCCAAGATTCGAATCATGCATCTTCCGATTGCTAGTTAAATATGTTAACCTCCTCACTTCCTGAGAGAGTATAACGATGAATGTCATAATGCCTTACATCCTCTCTGGTCTAACAGCGGTTGAACAGTTGAGTCCTCTCAATTACCGCTTAATATTGATGGTTCAATCTTTGTTCAAATACTGCTGAAAGGGCTAGGGTACATGGGAATTTTCGTGGTTTTCGCAATGCACAATATAAATGCAAGCCAGTTTCTCTTTGAATGTTCTCTACGAGTGCATCCCCTCTCAAGAAGATAACCCTAATATGCTTTGTCGTAATCAAACAAATATACTCAATCCAAACCAAATTCTTCACTACAATACTGACTGTACAGGAGCATCAGATTCCATCGATCAAACAGATAAAAAATTTATTGTCCACCACAGTTTAGTTTAGTCCAAAACACGTTAGTTTTAATCACACTCACATTTCAGTCGTGTTTTCGCAGGGATTCGAATGAAAAATTTTCAAATTGCTAGCTAGAAAATGCTGAAGAATTTTACTCCCACAGCATGCACGGTTGGTATGCGATAACTCTTTTTATGCATATATGTGTTTCCAAATATGAACTGACGTTAGTTATTTGCATATTTCAAACATACTGTTCTACAAAATAAGAAATACGTATGTCTCTGTAAGACAGAGAGAAACTTTTGCAGATAGTTTATCAGTGTCGGTATAAAACAAATAGGGAGACAAAGTAGACAGATGGCTTGTTTTGCAGCTGCTAAGTTTTTCTGCCTTCAGGGAAAATCAAGCTTAGGTCCTAAGGAAAAGCAAACATAAACAGGGCAATTTTGTTTGAGAGGAAAATAATTTTGTAGCATTTGATACAAAATTTTTTAAGGCTAGGTAAAAGAAGTTTGTTTAAAAAAAAAGGAAAAATATAAAACTCAGACTCTACAGAAAATATAATAATTATATTTTTAAGTAATGTAGGTAGGATAGAGAAGATAGTAATATAGAGAAGTAAGATAGCGTAAGTAGATAGAGAAGATGAAAGAGATAAGTAAGATAGAGAAGATGAAAGCGAAGCGTGAAGTAACCTAACCATGAATATATCCTAATGTACAAAGAACCTAATCAAAATTAATAGAGGTAAAACAGAAGGGGAAATGCTTCCTTCCAGTATTTGAGCACTCCTGAACATTTGTTTCTTATCAGAGGAATAAGTATAGCTAATAAATCTTCTAAGCAGAAGTGGGGCGCTTTGAAAACTCTTAAAATGTGCTTGAGTTAGTCGAAACCGCAAGCAAAGCTTCCTATCCTAAAAATAGAGTAGGGATTCACTTTGATAACAATTTAAAATCTACTTAGGAAACTGACTTTAAGCTAGACTGGAAAGCAAAAATAAAAAATCTGCTTCCTTGTACAACTTATTAAATTATGCGCAATTTTTTCTGCTCTTCGTTTAAACCTATTTCCTCGAATTTCATTAGATATATATTTGTCATTCAATGAATACAATTCTGACTTCGCCGAAAGACAAAAATACATAAAAACTCAAAGCATCCATCTATCTGAGGGGACAACTATTTTTTTTTCAATTGAAAATTATTAAGATGGTTTAGCTTTATTTGATTATGGCCAAGCACTCAAAGGCTATCTGCCTACTCGGCTACTCGAAGCTACAGAAGTCTATGTGGAGCACTCAGGCAAACAAGCTTGCATTCATGTTACACACGTCGAAAACTGCAAGAAATCCCATGTAGCCAGCCCGTTCGCCGCGTTTCGATTCCCGGAAAGAAGTACCTGCGTTTAACGACTTTAGAGCTCGGCTATTAATTGGTTGAAAATTATTTAGAAAAGAACCCGATTGACAGATGAGCATGCACAACCCTAATGAGTACAATTTAGTAATATTTCTACAAGACTACATGCAAACTTAATCAGAAACGAAACGCCAACATGTATCAAACTGTGGTAAACTATAAAAAAAAATATACTTTTAGTTATGCGCCGAAGAAAAAAATTAATAAATAAAAGGAACAAACTAGATTATCATTATTCATTCTGAAGTTTTATTTATTTATTTATTACATTATCTTTATTTATTACGAAGTCCACCTGGCAAAAATTTATGTGAAAAACGACGAAAATTTTTAGTTTAAATTAAAGTAAGTTTTTTAATAATTAATTAAGCATGTTAGAAGTATTGTAAATCTGTCTGAAAATTTAAAATCTGGCTCTTAATATTTTTGAATTACAAATGCTACCAAAGTAGCAGGTAGAAAAACTTTACATTTGAGAGAGAAAATAAATATAAATTTGATTCTTTTTGATCTTATGATTCTTGTTTAGACATGATTTGATAAACATTAGTAAGTGAGATTTAAAATTTATTCAAAATTTGTTTTTTATTTTATTCATAAAAAATATGTTCTCTATCTCGCTATCTTCCCCCCCCTCTTTCAAATACCTGGCTCATCAGCTGTTTTCAGATCGTGCTTTTTAATTTTGAGATCACTGCTTTTTCTCTTGCTTTTTTCGGCGACTCTTTTGTGCTTAATTCCGTCAACATCATTAACAGTATTATGCAACAGAATCTGTGAGAAACCTGCAGTCTTTTATCAGGCATGCAAGTAGATAACTTTTAATATTCACAAGTTACTTTTGCTTCAAAATATTCTTGCTGTATTTCGAAAGCATCGTTATGTTTCCAGCTTGAATTCAGTAAAGATTCTGCTTCCGTAGCAGAAAAATTATTGGTAAATCGTAGTTAAAGAGTACCTTTGGCTGATCAATGACTAGTACAGTTTGAATAGAATTGTATTGCTAAATGTTAAGCTTCCCCCCAATTTGATGAAGAACACCTGAAACTTTGCAAGGGATGATTGCCAACTCTATTGACTTAAAGCCGTACAGCATTATTATCATTCCTACAACAACTTTCTAATTGTCCGCTACTCCCCGGCGTACACCTGCGCTCCTGACCTTTCGACTTCTGCTGGCTTGCTTCACAACGGGGAACTGACTGTCCTTTCTCTTGAGGTAAAATGAAGATTGTCATCCCTCTTCCTTCCATGGGACTTCTTAACCAGCTCCATTCTTCATCCGTAATTGTGTTTCTTTCACTTTCTTCAGAGGACCCTTTTTCTTATTTTATTCGTTTTTCTTAACGCCGATGGGAAGATTATTGCAATTATTTTTCAAATGTACTCCATAATCAAAACGCCTTGGTCCCTTTTCCGCCGTAAACCTGCCCAATCTAGGGCTACCAAGCTAATCAGACTGTATATTTATACAGTCAGCTTGGTCAGCTTGGTTGGTTTGCTTGGTGCTTGATTAGCTTGCAATAAATTGCATCTAAAAAAAATTATTTTTACAGAACCACAACCGGTTTTTGACATCATCTTTTAGATGTTCACATAAACTTTGTATGGCAATTACAGAAGATAATGCATATTATGTGCCGTTGATAGCCCTTATTATACAAAGCATTGTTAATACATGTATGGTTACAGAACTGATAACATTTATGTGCTAGTTTATCTGTATACAAGCCCCAAAGATATTTATTAAAACTTATTTTAAACAGATACAACGCAGTGGAAACCCTACACAAGTTTTGGATTAAAATAAGTAGTTTCAATATTAAATGAAACTGAATACAGAGTAGGTACTTATACTGCTTTCTAACGTAATAAAGGCATTCATACGTAACCGATGATTTCTTTGCAATTCATATTATAAACAACACTGGTTAGATCGAAAACAGTTCAGTGGCCAGTCCGAGATATTCCCACTCAAGAGAAAATTTTGCTCGTCGTGCATTTTAAATTTCCCCCTTGTCGTACAGACACTATGCACTTACAAACATTTATACCTTCTTTAGGATTCTAAACCAGGCCCATTGGTACGGCAGTCAGTGTCACTAACTACTATACTGGATGGGCGGCAATAGTAATGATAGTAGTAGTAGTAGTACCTTCTGTTGTTGTGGTAGTGACGGTAGTAGTAGAAGTTGTAGTAGATTCTGTAGTAGTGGTTGTCGTAGTACCTGCTTGTGTAGTAGAAGTTGTACTTGGTTCTGTGACGGTGGTAGTCGTAGAACCAGCCTCCGTCGTAGTAGAAGTTGTAGTGGGTTCTGTGGTAGTAGTAGTCGTTGTATCAGCCTCAGTAGTAATCGAAGTTGTAGTTGGCTCTGTAGTTGTAGTAGTTGTAATTGCGTCTGTAGTAGTAGTTGTTGTGACCGCAGCGGTGGTGGTGGTAGGAATAGTAGGTGCATCTGTAGTAGTTGTTTCTGTAATGAATCACAGTCTTTAAAAATATTTCAAAAACTTAAAGTATGAAGGTAGAAATATCAGAATTATGTTAAAATGTAAACATCAATATATCTGCACTATCTGAAATTTTCAAGATTGCTACTGTTTCAATTGTCTCATTTAACTGAGAAACAAAAATAGCTCAAGTCATTCTGCAAGCTTACTGCATCATTCTAAAATCCACTTAACATCAAAAGGAGAAGAAAAATCTTTTATGCTAGCTCTTTTTAACTATTGCTTTCTCTGAAAGTTTGTGGCAATGGACAGCAAAACATATTCGCATAGTTGCTGAAACTATGGCATGTTTGTACTGCTTTCAGTGTTAAGATTTTTGGATCAGAAAGCTACTTCTTAATGGTACAGACATTTAAAAGCCGGCCGAGTTTGGTTTAGAGATGCCGATGGTTATAATTTTGTCGCGTCTAAGCACGAGTGGTAAGAAATGGTAAAAGTTCAAATCATCGTCTTAGAAGATCATCATCTAAACTCACTGAAACAGCGTTGAAGTCGGTTGCATAGTTTGTCAAGACATTTTAGCAGAAAATTAGAGCTTCTGCTTCACTGTTGCAAAGTTTTTTTTTTCTTCGGCTCTTGACTCAGTCGCGGACACTTAGCCGACAACCACTTAGCCAACGGGACACTTAACCGACACCAGTTAGCCGACAAGACATTTAGCCAACTAAGACACTTATCCGACATGGACACTTAGCCGACACGGACACTTAACCGACAGGTCATTTAGCCAACACGGACAGTTAGCCGACAAGGACGCTTAGCCGAAAGGACATTTAGCTGACACGGACAGTTAGCCGACAGGACATTTAGTCGACATGGAGAATTAGCCGTCAGGACATTTAGCTACGGGACACTTAACTGTCAAGACATTTAGTCAACACTAAGCCGACAGTGAAGTTTAGCTGACACTTACCCAATAATTATTCAAACTTACTGTGGATTACAAAATTTCTCGACTTCTCTTTAAGTTCAATATTTAAGTTATTTTTTTCAATATCAGTAAAATTCAGTTTTCGATTCCTAAAGATCTCATATGTGCTGTTAATTAAGCATTGTTTGACATGTATCATGCTATTTGGTGTATATTAGCCAAATTGAAAAAGCGCTGAAATTTCGGGAATATGAATTAGATTTCGAAAGGAAAAAAGAATTTTTTTAGCTAAGTACGATGGTCACTTAATTACATTTTAATATGGGATCTTCAAACATTGTCCGTAATCCTTTTTCATTTAATCAACTGGGTTCTTTTGAACACTTTCACATGATTAATAATTTTCCTTGTTTACTTGTTCCTTGATAATAATAGGTATCCAAGCATTGCCTTACCCTGTATATAGCAAGTGAAATTACTGAGCATAAGTTTTTCTGTGCTAGCATTAAGTTCAGGAGATTTGAATGCGAAGCATTCAGATACCATTTTAGCAAAATAGGAGGTGATGAGCAATTATATTCATAGGGAGCAATTATAGTTATCTAGCAGATACTGTTTAGGCATAACTTTGTTGTAGGAATAGCTTGCGAGAATCCGCAGTGAGGTGGGATCGATCATTCATTTCGTGTTACGAAGCGCAGTTACTCGAGAGCCATCGTAGGCCAGACTTAACTGGCTGTTGTCCTCAGCGTAGTAGGAATAAGACCGTTCTGAAATATCTGAATAATGCAATAAAAATTATTGTTATTCTTGGATTATATTTTATATAGAAACATATGGTGGTGAGAGTTAGTTTAGTAAATATATTTTATTTTGTTATTAGAAACAATTAAAAAAAAGGGAATTTTTAAGACCAGCAAAGGTATAAATTATTTGTGACCTCTATAATTTGCAGTTCATGCCGCCAATCTTGAGATAAAAATATTGTGACATTTTTTTTTTTTTTTTTTTTTTACCACGCTTCTTGCTTAAAATACTTAGGTTAATGTTTATTGCCCTAAACTACTGCATAATGTTTAATTTAGAAGTAAAATATTCTTTAAGGTTTTGTTTTATTCATAACTGAAGCTGCAGAAGGAGGGGCCACAAAGTATGGCGGAGCAAAGCGACACATCGTGAAAAGACACCGTAATGTAGTGCCATCTAACGATGCTAGATTTAACTATATCTGTCATGTAAATTGATAATATTATTTACTATGTTTTGAAAGTCGCGATGTGTAATTTGCAATATAATATGTTATATTAATTTTTTTCTTATAAAATATAACTTTTCTCAATATCTGTTAAAAATGTATAAATTTTCATTTCATTTTTCATTCATTTTTTTTCATAACCAGTCTCTTCCAATGAAAATTGTCTTTTTAGGCTAGAACTTTATTAATACATTCAGGAAAATGGTCACCAAAAATTTTCCCATTACCATGTAGCATTACCATGTCATTCTGCAGCTTCAGTTATGAATGAAACAAAACCTTAAAGAATATTTTACTTCTAAATTAAACATTATGCACTAGTTTAGGGCTATAAACATTAACCTAAGTAAGTATTTTAAGCGAGAAGCGTGGTCAATAAAGTGTTACAGAATTTTTATCTCAAGGATGGTGGCATGAACTGTAAATTATAGAGGTCACAAATAATTTATACCTTTGCTAGTCTTAAAAATGCACTTTTTTTTTAATAACAAAATAAAATATATTTGCTAAACTAATCCTCACCGCAATATGTTTCTATGAAAAAGTATAATTAAAAAATAACAATATTTTTTATTGAATTATTTAGATTTTTCATGACAGGGAAAGGGAATTTCATTAGTAGCATTAGCCAAACGATTTTTAAGGGAAGGAATGTAATAGGATGTGATGAGCAAAATAGTAACGAAACGTAAATATATTAGAATTTTGAAAGGATTTGAAGAGCGAGATTGGAAAATAATTATCATTAAGTAAACAAGAAAAAGTATTAATGATGTGAAAGTTGATTAAATGAAGAAGTTTTACGGATAATTTTTGAAGATCCCATATTAAAATGTAATTCTGAATTACATTTTAATATGGGAATTGAAAGTGACCACCGTACTTAGCTAAAAAAATTCTTTTTGCTTTCGAAATTTAATTCATATTTCCTGACGAGAAATTTCAGCGCTTTTTCAATGTGGCCAATACACACCAAACAGCACGATACATATCAAACAATTCTAAATTACACAATAAAATTAAAAGCGAGTATGAGATCTTCAAGAATCGAAAACTGAATTTTACTGATATGTGAAAAAAATAACTTAAATATTGAACTTAATAGAGAAGTCGAGAAATTTTGTGATTGATTGTAAATTTAAATAATTATTGGGTACGCGTCAGCTAAACGTCACTGTCGGCTTAGTGTCCTGTTGCCTAAATGTCTTGACATTTAACTGTCAGGTAGCTAAATGCCCTGACAGCGAATTCTGTGTGTGTAGGCTAAATGTCCTGTCGGCTAAGTGTCCTGTCAGCTAACCGTCCGTGTCGGCTAACTGTCCGTGTCGGCTAAATGTCCTGTCGACTAAGCGTCCTTGTCGGCCAAATGTCCTGTCGGCTAAATGTCCTCTCGACTAAGTGCCCTTGTCAGCTAAATGTCTTGTCGGCTAACTGTCCGTGTCGGGTAAATATCCTGTCGGCTAAATGTCTTGTCGGTTAACTGTCCGTGTCGGCTAAATGACCTGTCGGCTAAGTGTCCGTGTCGGCTAAACGTCCTGTTGGCTAACTGGTGTCGGTTAAGTGTCCCGTCGGTTAAGTGGTTGTCGGCTAAGTGTCACGGACCCCTCTTGACTATATAGCTTCAATAATACGCAAATTTGGATGTTGCAACGGCATTATTATCGTTCCACATCGTCCTTATTCGCTCTTTATTTACTAATTTCCTATGATACACATTTTCTTCCCTATATTTAAAATAACATTTAGAGGACGACATTTTGAAACTGCATTCGACATTCAGAAGGAATCGAAATCTGGTCTTGACCGCTTCAAAGAAAAGTACTTTTTTAGTGCTTTCGAAACATGGAAAAACCGATTTTGTTTTTCATGTTTAGGGCACTGTGTAGAGCTATCAGGTATTTTGGAAGCAGTAAAAATGAAAAATGAGCAACGCTTTTGCTGGAAATCGAACCACGGAGCTCTGGAATAAGCGCCCAGCGTGCAGACCACTACACTACTAAGGCATGCTAAGAAGGCGAGAGAAATACCTTTAATACTCCAGGCGACCCAATCGCCAAATCCTGAGTGTGGAAAATCATCATTCACCATCCTTTTAGTTTGGACGCCACTGTAGAGACATTAGGTTTCTTTTGGAAGCAAGAGAGATTGAAAAATGAGCAACGCCTTCGCCAGGAATCGAACCACGAACCTCTGGAATACGCGTACAGTGTGCAGACCACCACACCACGAAGTCACGCTAAGAAGGCGAGAGAAATACCTTATAACTGCATATACATTCACAAAAAGGCTAAGTTTAAGCCTAGCATCTAAAATGGAATAAACAAATGCGGAATTAATATTTTCATCAAATCCGGGATTTACTTTCTTTTCGAGTTTGATTTTAGATTCAGCTTTGTAACTTAAAATTTCTTTGATTCCTTGAACTACGAATTTAGGATGAACAATTTGCTCCGAACTAATTTACTTTACTGAGCGAGTGAATATAATTGGCAAAAATCGAATCGGCAGCTCTTTTAGAGTTCAACCACCGAAAGCACTCATTAGAAACGTACCAGGCAAGTTCTATTTACATTTGAGAGGAGAAATTTATTAATTCCTTGTCCTCCATTTTAAAAACGAGTTTAATTTTTACTTTTTAAACGTTTCTTTTTTTTTTCTAGAATTATATTGTTAGTTCTATGTGAAAAGGAGGTTTTAGATAATCTCAAAACTACAGCTGAAATAAATCATACCAGGAAATTAACATTTCGATTGAATCGATTCTCTCGATCCCACTGCTCATTTGATTTTTTCCGCTCTTCACTCGATCGTAACAAATAGTTTTAGTTTCATTTTCCTTTCCCGATCTTATTCATAAAGGTTATTGTTAGTTAGCGGTGATGCTTAAGTAGGAACGCGTTGAACTCACTGAGAGAACGGTTCTGAACTGATTCCATAAAAGAGCGATTTTGCTCATCTTTACTATGAACTGAAATATTAAATGTATGCTTACATATGGGATTCGTATTCTAAGTATGTTACATACCATGATATGCCATGGCACTATAATCTACGAATATGAGTTATTAATCCGGACAAAATGCGCTTGTGAATGTGTGGCATTCGCGGAGAGCTAAATGTCAGCCAATTAGACCGTTGGTAGTGCGGTTGGGGATTTCGATAATGAAAAGCCTTCCTTAGAACAAACTTTGTTACAGGCGAGACAGTTAGAGAAGATGAGTTTGGTTGAATAGAATAACGCAACAACAACTTGTATAACTATACTTTAACACTTCCACGGGACTTATTGAGACGCTTCAAAAGGCCTTCTCGCATCGCCTTCAACAGTACTGCTAAGAAGAAGAAGAGTATTTAGAAGGCATTATTTTCAAAGCCCTCTTATGTGTTTAATATTCGTATTATAGCAATACAGTAAATGCTTCTGTGGGTATTGTTATTTTATACCCGCATGAAGTTACTAGAAGCACTCACCGTCTTTCTGTTATTCGAAGTTTGTAGATGAGAAAACAAAGTTATAATCATGTATATAAAATGACGTTTACTTATTTACATTTTCAAATTTTTATTAAGCATCCTTTTCTAGATCGATGAAGGGAAGCTATAAAATGATTACTTTGGCGTATAAATTCATTTATTTAACAGTGATTACGTTAGAAATGTAATTATTCACAAAAATAGGATGAGAATTTATGGCTATAAATGAAGTTTAAATCAAATTTTAATTTAAAATTGACAATAGTCATTAAAGGTACAAATATTCCTAAAGTTATTAAAGAGTTAAGTAAGGCGATTAATCCGTACAGATCGGTGTTTTTAAACGTCTCTACATTTTCATTAATGCAAGATTACGATTTTTACCGCCAGAAGTATATTTTTCAAGTTCGTAATAACGCAGTAGCAAAGATGAAATCATTCTTAACTGAAAGTAGTACTCAGCAATAAATATTTCTTCCACTGGTATCTATGTTTTTTTTTTATTTATGATATATATTGACCCGGTACAATATGCTAGAAACAGCTAAAATACTTTCAGATGAGTGTGTTACTATACACTGAAGTGACAAAAGTCACGGGATACCTCCTAATATTTTGTCGGTCCTCCTTTTGCCAGGCGAAGTGCAGCAACTCAACGTGGCATGGACTCAACAAGTCGTTGGAAGTCCCCTGCAGGAATATTGAGCCATGCTGCCTCTATAGACGTCCATAATTGTGAAAGTGTTGACGGTGCAGGGCTTTGGGCACGAACTGACCTCTCGATGATGTCCCATAAATTTTCGATGGGATTCATGTCGGACGATCTAGGTGGCCAGATCATTCGCTGGAATTGTCCAGAATGTTCTTCTAACCAATCGCGAACAATTGTGGCCCGGTGACATGGCGCATTGTCATCCATAAAAATCCCATAGTTGTTTGAGTACGTGAAGTCCATGAATGGCTGTAAGTGATCTCCAAGTAGCTGAAGGTATCCATTTCCAATGATCGGTTCAGTTGCACCAGAGGACCGAGTCCATGCCATGTAAAAACAGCCCAGACCATTATGGAACCACCACCAGCTTGAACAGTGCCTTGTTGACAACTTGAGTCATGGCTTCATGGGGTCTGCGCTACACTCGAACCCTACCATCGGCTCTTACCAACTGAAATCGTGACTCATCTGACCAAGCCACGGTTTTCCATTCGTTTAGGGACCAACCGATATGCTCACGAGCCCACGAGAGTCGCTGCAGGCGATGTCGTGCTGTCAGTAAAGGCACTGGAGTTGGTCTTCTGCTGGCATAGCCCAAGGAAGACAAATTTCGCCACACTGTCCTATCGGACACATCCCTCGTACGTCCCACATTGATTTCTGCCATTATTTTATGCAGTGTTGCTTGTCTGTGAACATTGACAACTCTACGTAGACGTCGCTGGTCTCGGTCGTTAAGTGCAGGTGGTCGGCCACTGCGCTGTCCATTGTGGGATGTTATGCCTGAAATTAGATACTCTCGGCACACTCTTGACACTGTGGATCTCGGAATGTTGAATTCCCTAACGATATCCGAAATGGAATGACCCATGCGTCTAGCTCCAACTACCATTCCGCGTTCAAAGTCTGTTAATTCTCGTCGTGCGGCCATAATCACGTCAAAGCCTCTTCACATGAATAACTTGAACACAAATGAAAGCCCTGCCAACGCACTTCTCATTTATACATTTTCTACGCGATACTATTGCCATCTGTATATTTGCATATTGCTATCCCATGACTTTTGTCCCTTCAGTGTATAAAGAGGAACAGGCAGAGCCGCCTTTATTAATCTCTGAAATAAAATAAATTCATGCGTTAAGTAAGAAATTTCATATCAGATGTTAAAATTGCATCAGTGATATATTATTAGTCATGAGTAAAGCATAGTAATTTTGCAATTATAAACCTAAGATAAAATCTTATTTAGAATATGTCATTTTTCATTTTAAGTTTTGTTTTTTCTATTTGCAAGACAGCATTTGTTTACGGAATGCAGAAAGGTAAAATGCTAGAATTAATTAATAATTGTGCAAAAGATATTTAGAAAATGTACAATGTGATTTGTGTAGTAATCAAAGGAAATAAAATTTGAGGTGAGTTCATTTTCTGAGCATTATAAGAGGTTCTACCTGCTTACTGTAGGATGTTATGCATTTTATTTAGTTTTACAAATAATATTATAACGGGATTACCTAGATGCAAGTTGTTTAAGGAATATTGTATATGTACAAATTTTTAATGGCACCCCTATTCCCTCGGCCAAGCAGGTCCCTTATCTTGGGGTGATCCCTCAACAAAACTCTTACATGGGCCCCACACATTACATCTATTATCCAAAAGTTTCGATCGCAAAGCTAAACTATACCCTTTTATTGCTCGAAACAGTGTTTTATCTGTTGATAACAAGTTACTAATTCTAATTTATAAGTCCGTTCTCCGTCCATTACTATGTTATGCTAGTCCAGTTTGGGCCTATACCAAAAAATGTAATAGGAAAAAATTACAGACTTGCCAAAATTCTGTTCTTAGGCAAATAGTTAAAGGAGAGTGGCATATCCGCAAAAACAGAATTTATGAAGAACTGGGTATGGAGCAACTACGCTCACGTTATTATAAACTTGCTAAAAGCTTTCATGAAAGACAAAAAAACAATTAACAACCTGGCCATTAAGATTTGCAATTATGACTACAATGACCTAGCCAATATGGACAGGCCCATGGACCAAAAGAATGTATATATTATGTAATATTTTTATTATAATGCCTTTACGGTTTATGTTAATCTTCTCGTATTGTATCTGCTATGCTTATTGTATCTTTTTAGTCTTAGGTTCATAGAATTTATGTCTTACTTATCGGATTCAAATTACCAGCGTTAGCCTAACCTTGCCGCATTCATTTGACATCGCTTTTCAGATTAATTAGCGTTTCCTAGCTTCTGGCTTAAATATAAATTCTAAATTATTAATTATTCCTTGAAAAACTTTATTATAGAAAACAAATTACCTTAGGTATCTTTTAGGATATTTCATCATACCATTCGCAGTTTGCAAACTGTTCTATATAAGCCTTGTCGCTCAGGTACCCTGGTGTACCAAGCAACGTTCCACGGAGAAGAAGAGGGGAAGACACATGCAAAACGTTTTCTCAAAACCCCCCGAAAGAAGCTGTGACAAATTTCAGCCTGCAAAGAAGTCACGATTGCATGGCACGTCATCTTAATAAAAGTGGCATCCTTCCATCTAGTATATGCCAAATTTGCAGTTCGGGCATCATGAATGCAGAGCACCTTCTTGTATGCTCAGAACTAGATAAAGAGTCTCAGAAAACGTGGTGAGATGAAGTAAACTATATTGGAATGCCAGAGCTTTCATGAAATCCTTTTAAAGACTATATCTCTTATGTTCCTTTCCTTGTTTAAATTTTTAACTTTTTACTTTTGTTCCCATGTTCATTTATTCTAATTCTTTCTTTATAAATGTATGTTCTTTTTAATTATTTATTATTGTTCATGCATGATACTTGAGCTGTTTTATATGTTTGGATTGATATTTCCAATAAAGCCATACGTAACAACACAATATTATCAAGTTAAAAATTCACAACTTTAGGAAGAAGTTTGCAAAATTTTAATAACGTTTTATACTTTTCAACAATTATTATTTTTAGGAACAGGTATGTCTTACCTTTTTCAGGAGCTTTTGTCGTCATTTCTTCCCTTTTTAACTATGAAGAAAAAAATCAGAAATATCCTTAGGCATTAGGCATTTCATTTGAAATATCATTCGAATTAAATAACATGTTACATATCACAGACATAGTTCTTTTTTCCCTCTGTTAAATGACTAATTTTCAGATTGCTGTGAAATTAGTGATTAGCCCTTCTTATACCAAAATTATTTGTGTACTCTCCAATTCTTAATTAGATAAATCAAGAAAATAAAGGTTATTCATTTGTGTCGTTATCTTTTTGAAGCTTTGCATCATCTTCTGTAGAAATATTTCAGGTCCTTGCGCGTTAACGCAACCCCATTGGCGCAGTCTGAAAAATTTATAGAACTAAACGAATGATGAGTTATAATTGCAAATTACTATTTATTACGTAGAGAATTATCATTATAGACATTTTTTAAGTTTTAACTAATTATTTATTGAAAACTACAGTCAATGAACTAGTTATAAACCAGCTTTTGTTTCTTTTATTCAGGTGGAAACATTATCATAATTGCTTCAAGAAGCTATTTTAAACAGTTGTGCTCGTCAATGATTTTGCAACATAACATTGTACTCCGGCCGAAATTTTACCAGACTTTCTACTAGTACAGGTAAATCCCTCAAATACGTAGTTTAAAATTGAATTTAAGGCAAGAAAAATCACAGTTTATCTATACAGACTGTTGAAATTTCGAACTCAAAAGAACACGTACAAAAATGGCTACGTTTGTTGTGAAAAAAAAAAAATTGTAATACGTAAGGTTACCTGAAGAATAAAGTTTGGCTCCTGATACATGAAAGAAAAGAGTGTAACATAAAATGTATTATAATTAATATTTTAAGAAGGTAAAAGTGATTCTCTATTAAGGAGAATGAAATTTTTAAGAAATAGATGAAAGGATCAAGAGTAATAAGACTGAAATAATAAATAGCGGAACATTACGGATGACCTCCGTATAGATTTTCAAGACTGTCTGTCACGCATTATTCCAAATTATAATGCGGAGTATAGTAAGACATACTCTTCTGCAGCTCTCCTTATGACATAAGTTGGTAATGACCTCTAGGAAGCTAAACACGTGTTTGAATACCTCCAGGATGTTCGTTTTCAAGTAACTGGTCTCAAATCAAAAGAACACAGCAACAAAATAGTGGTTTGGAACGAAAAAACACGTGTATTTAAATTCTCATACCAGTTTAATTTTAAGTTATTAACGGCTCCAAATAATTTTTGTTTTTCTGAGGAGGAAAAAATTAATAGCGTTAATTTTGAGAAAGTAAATAAATAGAATTATCAAATATCATTTTCTTCAGAGAAGTTGATTAAACACTGATGTTTATTCATTCCCTCAAAATTATTATAACTTCAGGCATGGTGTGTATGGAATATTTCACTGCATTTCTGCATCAGAGCATGCATCTTTCTTTTGTACCCTAGTACAACTAGTCGGAATAGTTTCAACCGAGAATTAAACCCAGTGAAATGGTTAATTCCTTACACCATATTGTAAAAAGTCAAGAAATAAAGCATAGGAATGTATGCAAAGGGGTGATAAAGCAAAACATACGGTTTTGTGATTTTAGCTTATTTCCGGCAATGTAGTAGGAAATCTTTTGACGTTTGGTGTAATTAATGGGCACAGAACTCTCATTTCAGAATCATTTCCGGATTTGTTTTTGAGTATATGATAGATTAAAAAATATGTTATTTGTATGCTAGAGGTATCCAGTTAAATATATATAATTAATAATTTGATTCAGTAAAATGTCTCTTAAGGTAAAAGAAGGTTTTCAAAATATTTGAAGGACAGGTTCCACTGCAGATAGTTTAAACATTCATTGCAGAAATACTTGAAATGTAATAAGTCACATCTAAGGTACAGTAATTTCTCGATTGTGCTACAAAATTGCTTTTATTGATAATTGCCCAATGCGTGCCTGGCTCAGTTGGGAAATAAAAGTTTTCTAGAATAGCAGTCAGGTCTTTAGTTTGTAAAATTTAAATGTAGTCTCATAATAAATATTTAAGTTTCGTATTTCTCTAATTGCCTTAGGATTTGTTTCGGAAGGCATCATTAGTAGGAAATATTAATTATATGTCTCAAATATTTGCATGTCTTCTGCGAAGTATTAATGATCTGATACCCATTCAGTTCAATAAACTATGAGTTCTAAATTATTGTGCAATTCAGAAATATGCTCCCTTTAATTTACGATAATATTTGAATAATTTTTATCTTACCATTAGTATGGAAAATGAAGACATGTCTTTAGATTACTTACGGTTGAATTCTACTGAAATTATCATTATAGATATTTTATTTGGCAATATTATATTAAATATATATTTAATTTTCAAATGTAAACTTCTCACTTTATAGATCTTCATGCCTGGATTGCTACAGCTATCCACGGAACAAATTCTTTCATCCACTGACTTAGTCATCAGCTTACATTCCCGATTTTTGTAACCGAAATAGAAACAAGATTCGCCATCCTGAAAGCATAATGAAGCACACTGTATCTTGGTATCGACAGAATGCTCTGTATATACCCATTCTGGGTCTAATATATTGGTGGTATTGAGACGAAAGTTATACTGTTCGCCTTCGGAAAATTTAACCGAAGCGAATACAAACACCACCAACATTAGAAAGATCATCTTTTACTGTAAGTTGAAATATGTTTACATAAATCTAGGAACACGTTTTTATAAAATAACTAAGAATGCATTAAGTATTAATGTCAATTTAACACGGATATCCAGTTTTGTGTTTAATCTCCCTCTCTGATAAAACACGCAATGTTTATATAGCCTATAACTTAATCTTTACACGCGGCGAATTTAACACGAATATTCAGATTTGTGGTTTGTATACGGCATGGATAAAACACGCAAAGTTTACTGTGTCTACAACTTAACCTTTACACGCTATGTTATGCTTCCTTTTTCTCTTTGATAATTTGATCGTTTAATTGATAAGTAAATATCTAGAACCAATGGAATTTGAGGTAGCATGACTGTATAATTTTCAGACAGCGTGCAGGAACATTCAGACAATTTAATGAGCAAACAAATGTTTTAATATCTTGTCAACAAAAATATTCATAGAATACTATTTATATTTTTATGCACACATTTGGAAACGAAATTGTGAGGAAGTTTTATGAAAACATTGATGCTTAGCAATGAAAACAAAAATTTATTGTTGCCATCAGCCTAACAGATTAGGATTTTATTCGAAATTATTTCGATTTCCCCAAATTCGGCAAAGTAACACTGCAGTTTAATTAAGAAGAACCTCATATGCAGCTGATTTATCAAATATACCCCTAACTTCATCAAGAACTTTCTAGTAAAATTTAAATCTTTAGTTTAGGTTAATTATAACAAAACACTTCCATACTATTACCGAAGAAAATGATGCCTAGGAGTAGGAAATTTTAAGGAAGAAGTAGCTTTTATTTGCTGAACATGGGGGGGGGGATTAGGGAAAGCTGCACAGTCAGCTTGTTGAACCATCAGGAACCAAACCGGTGCGACTAACAATATTCAAAGGGTTTAGCCATTTGACTACTAGTATTACGAATGAAAAAGAATAACTGCATTTATGGATTTATAACGGAATTCTATTCCATTTAAATCATTGCAGCTTGAAAGCGTCATAAATCGAAAACGTACCTAAACTATGCCAAACATCATAATAAAATCTACCTTAAGAATGCTGACAAGAATTACAATACCCAACACCACTATTCTCTCTAATTTTTCACTACTGATGTGCAACTTTATTTTGCTGTTGTTGTGACTATCTCACTTGTTTGACAGAACAAGCCCACGAAATTCATTATGGCAAGCAGAGCATGACTGTGCCTGTCATTGGCTAGAGCCTTGAGCACCATACAGGTGACAGTCCGACTTCGCTCCCTTCCGCCCCAATTCTGATGGAGAGTACCTCGGGGAAATAGGTTCGAGGGTCTCCCACCCCTCATTCTCTGCCACCAACCTTTCGAGAGGACTTTCGTCTCGCCGTAGAGTGCCTCCATGCCGCAAAGACACTACAAACATCCATGCCTTCTTCGGGATTTGAACCCCGGCCCTTCGGTATTGCAATAGGCTCCCTCTAACCACCATAGCATTTGGGCGGCGTAACTTTATTTTGATCTATGCAACTTTTTCCACTGCAAGATTTGCTTGAGTGGCTTTTTTTTCCCGTCTTAATTTTATATTTAAATAAATTCTATTATAATTATATTTATTATCTTCAAAACCATATATATTTAAAAAAACTATTTATTAATTCTAAAAATTAATACATCAATGTAAATGTAAACAGAACAAAATTCTTTACTGAAATATAGCCTAACTTAAGTAGTGATAAGTAATAATTAGTAGTATTCTGCCACCATAATGAAATAAACGAAACGAAAATCTCTAGAAAATCCCCCACAGACATCTCTGTACTTAAGCAGACATCCGCCGTGTGCTTTGCTATGTGCTTTGCTATCTTCAAATAACCTTTGCAAAATTTCCCTTTTTTATGTCCGATTCTTTTACGAAATTTAATTTAAAGTACTCTTGGTCGGACTTCAGCATAAACACAGAAAAATCAGCATTTTATTAACTAAATGTTAAAATACGAAAACGCTGAGCAAATCCCCATTTACTATAACTCTATAAGCTAGAATCCTATCACATGATTCGAAACAGATAATTCACGTAGATGCTAATTAAGGCGGATCGAAAAAAATAAAAGTTCTGTAACTGAAATGCATTACCCCCTCAAAAGTTGTGTGCTGAGTAACGTATCGTGAAGTTTTTCAAAATTTTCCTACTTCATATTCATTCCCTGGAATAGCCCAGAAATTTACCAACATTGTAATGGTACGGTAAGGCTGCAATATTTTTAAAACTTGTGAAATAAAAAAGAATTATTTCTCAAAAGACGTGTATTGACTAATATATCACTCACTCAATTTTTGAAAAATTTTCTGCTTCATCTTTATTGTACGCAAGAGCTATGAAATTTGAAATTTTTACATAGTATTCCCAAATTATAGCAAAACATTTCAGTAAGTTATTTTTCACAATAATATTGTACACTTGCAGCAAGAAGATGATAATGCATTATGCGAGGTACTCTAAGCATTCCCCTTTAAAACAAACAAAATTGCATGTGTTCAATTGTGTGGATGTGTTCAAAGAAATTATTATTCACTTCAAAATAAATTGCAATATTTTAATTTTCACACCATAAAATGCATGTGACTTATATCTTATCACAAAACTGAAGTAAACCGAGCTGGCCAGTCACCGATAGGTTGCATCAGCACGCGTAAAGATTGCGTTATCCGGATTCCGTTTGTGTGGGGAGACAGGAGCAGCCCTGTCGCATTGCTCAGTAGCTCAATTCATTGTCTGCCTTCCTGCACAATGCCTACCAATTGAATCAGGAGATATGTCTCAACTGGTGGCAAAGTGAAAAACCCATTACTGGTAATCCAAGAGACCTTTGTTGTAATATACTGCCCACTGGAGAAGATGATTTAAAATGTTATAGCTGCAAAAGGAAAATTGTGGATAGTCATTGAGATATCACGGAAGATATGTTGTTTTTTTCGAATGCTGAAAACTTCGATGTGTCCCAACTTAAGCGTGACCTCGCAGAAACTTAAGCGGTTGAATGCAAAGAAACTGTAGTAAATGCTGAGAATTCAAGAAGTGAAATTTGTTTACTAGAAAAAACGTTTGAAAGGTGTTTGCGGTGGATAATATGCCAACTTTATTCTAACGAACTACCGTTAAGGCACATAATGAATTATCTCTGGACGGACCAACAGTGAGTGCTCATGCATTTTATGAACTTATAGGCGAGGCAGTTGTCAATTAAGAGCACCTTTCAGTAGTTGATTTTCGACAATTGCAGGAAGTTTGCTAAAATGGGAGAGAATGACGTTGTAAATCTCAACAGAGATAAAAAATATCTGTGAGGTATAAGCTGTTTTTTTAGGTACGTGCCAAATGAATCTCGCAGCGCGAAGTCATAGGAAACTTTCTAAAGTAAGATGACTCACTTTGGGCAACAAACTCCTTTGAGCATTACTAATCCATCTGCCCCCATAAGCTCTCATCCATTTGCCGCCTTGAAGGAGATGGCTTCTTTTATCATGAGAGTTTATGCTCCAATAGAATTTTACATTAAATGCAATCCAAACATTAACGATACGTCTATTAACCTATGGCGTAATCTTTTGTTTTCTCGTTACCTCATTCGTAATCTGAAGATTATTGTGGATGGTTACATTCAGTGAAACGGTTACGCTTGCAGACGAGCAGAAATAGTACATTCCAGATGCAAGGTGTGCATAGAATTTCTGAGAACTCACATTCAGAGGAGCCGTCTCTGCCAGCACACAAATTCAAGATCCTCTACAATCCGCGATAATCGTAGTTTCCAGTGATTTTTTTCCAAGGCTACATACAGACATTATCAAATTCGAAAGACCAACAAGTGTCAAGCGACAGTAAAATAATAGAGAAATGTATAATTATTTACATACAATAATATGTATTTTTTTCTGTATGTGTCTATAAAAATTTAATACATAAAAGAAAGAGAATAGATTGTCATGATTTATTCTCAAGTTTTGTTCCACTGGGGAAGTTTCTATTCTGAAAGTATGGTAAGGTTTCATAACATTTTTAATTTTATGTTAAAAGTAAGTTATTAAGTGGTTGATTTAAGCACGGTAAATTTGAATTTTTTCCTTTGACTTATTATTATTATGATCACTAATATATGTTTTGAAGTTTTATTCAAAACTTTCCCTCAGTTGCTTTCAAGGTCGCGCATACGACACACATGCGGTATGAGTTTGAGAACATCCTGAGCTAAATCGCAAAATAGGCTGCATCAGTCGATGCTGTGTTTACTTCTCTTATGCTTGTACACGCCGTTTTATGACGTATTATTGCGTACGCCTCTTCTTAACAAGTTATAAGTATGCTATAGCTTCGTATTTAACGAAAACTTAAATTATATTTTAACTCAGTTGAAATGATAGGTTTATGATGTTCTGCGCGAGATTTTTTTAATTATAAAACTACTTCTGTACGTTGTGTGGTAATATAAGCATTTAACGCAACGAATTATCTCTCACAAATGTATTATTAAGATACCAAACGATTAAGAACGATCATTACCAAACGATTGAAAATATTGAATGCGTGAGTTAAAAATTATAACCGTAAATTCTGAAAATAAAGTGTGTGTGTATTTAATTATGGCAAAGCGCACTAGGGTTGCGTTAAGGGGAGGGATGCCTTCGTGGAGGACTTTCTAAGGGAAACTGGCTCGTATGCACGTTACACATGGGGAAAACCACGAAAACACCCATGCAGCCAGCCCGTTCGCGGGATTCGAACCTCGGACCGAACTAGCAGTGTTCAGCGACTTTACCGCTCCGCCGCTGGTGGGCACTCTGAAAATAAAGAAAAGAATTCTTATAGAATGTTTTGATTACTGATGAGTGTGTCCAATAAGGTACTTAATGCAGAATGGATGGATATTTGAATCTAGATTTTTATTATCAGTTGGACGAAGAGGTAAAAAGAGTGTTAA